TCGTGCGAGGGTTAAAACCCCAGTTCAATGATCGTACCAAAAAAACGCCTAAGTCATTCCAAAACGCCTGAAAGAAATTAGATGTGTATCCATCTGGCCCAGGGGACTTATCCCGGTGAAGCTTGGATAAGGCGACACTCGCCTCTTCCAAAGAGATAATCCCTTCTAGCTCTAATCTCTCTTCTAGCGATAACTTTGGAATTGCATCCCCTAACAAGAAAGCAAAGTCGTTGAGCTTCTTTGCCCTTTGGGTTGGTAGATAAATATTTTGAAAATACTTATGAAGGTAATCCATTATAACTGCTTGGTCGCTGCAATCCTCTCCGTTAATTTCTAAGCATCCTATATATTTATTCGTGTATTGACGTTTCTCCAATCCGCAAAAATATTTGGTTGGTCTCTCCCCCATTTCAATCCACCGTGCTTTTGCTCTCACCATTATGCCTTCCATTCTTATCTTACGCAGGTCGAGAAGCTCCTCCTGCAACGCTCCAATGCGTTCGATAACATCTATCTCTTGCGTTGCGTAATTTTCTAATCGTTGTATTTTATCTATGAGATCCTTCTCTCTTAGACCTAGCTCCTTTTTCTTCCTAGATGCATATTCAATTGTAACACCCCTCAAATGGCAAAGAAGTGTTTCAAAAAACAACTGATCGTCCACTGAAAAACGAATGTTTTGGTCCTCTTCTATCGTTCTTTCTGAATAAACTGGTAACGCATACTGTTTCTTAACACATTTAATTTCCTTTTTAATTAGATCCACATATTCACTATCCCCCAGGAGACTGTTATTAAATTTCCAAAACAAGGTTCTTTTTGACTCCATCTTATTTTGAAAAGTCAGCTTAATTATATTGTGATCGGTTCTATAGCCCCAGATTATCTCGGACGAGTAAATACTGCGCACTAGTTCAGCTGAAGTCAGGAAAAAGTCTAGCCTGGAATACTTAACTGGGTTCACTCTCTTCCATGTATATCTACGTAAGTTTGGATGCTGCTCCCGCCAAATGTCTATAAGATTTTCTTTTTCTATAGCCTCCAAAACTGTCCTCCTGGCTCTCGGATTCCCCACTGTACGATAAAACTTCGTGTCTTTATCCGGGTCCAGGACAAAATTCCAGTCGCCAACAAATATAGTCGGGTGCTCATTTGCTCCTAGCTGTGACGCTTTTTCAAACAGTTCTTGGAAAAACTTGGGACAATCATCGTTAGGCCCATACAACACTACCAAGATACACCTGAAATATCCATCAAACTCAACATCTACTATTAGATAATTACCTGCACTATCTGCAACATGATCGCGAACGATCACAGGCGCTCCGGGACAAGGGAGCACCGCGACACCCCTGGCATGATCAGTGCCATAACTAAGCAAAACATCTGTACCCCATTCGGAACGAATCCTCCTCTCCAGATCTGCCGTCAAATGTGTATCAACCAGGCAGTATAGAGCACAACATAGTCCCTTCAAATAATGAAAAACATCACGTCTTTTCGCGAATTGACGGATTCCTCTTACATTCACGCTGCGAAAAACATCACGTCTTTTCGCGAATTGACGGATTCCTCTTACATTCACGCTGCAAACTGACAAGGTCATATATCAATAATCTATACCCGTGGAGCACAGAGACAACACTACAACACACTAATCCCCAAAAAAGTCCCTGATGTCTCGCAGGCCAGTCGTTTGACCTCTACCCGGGCAGGAAGATCGAGGTCCGACATCTCGATAAAGCCTCTTTATAACCGGAGAGACCGAACGAGCCCGCGGGCAGTGCCGCGGTCCAGCAGCTCCTTCCTGAACACATATTGTCATGGAAATGGCTGGGGGCCCGTTTTTCAAGTGACTCAATCTGGACGCCACAGTAAACCGATAAAATGCACTAAAATAGTACCTTCCGAACGGAAATTGAATGCTCTTCAAGGAACTGGGCTCAGAATTTGGATAGGGCCTTTAGTTTTTTTCTCTATTTTGAAATGAAATCGAAAAAAATGTCAAATTTTTACAAAATTTCAATATTTTCTTACTTTAACACGCGCAGTGGAAGGGTTGCGAGTACTACGCCCAGTGGAAGGGGGGGGCGGATGTCGCCCCCCCCCCTAAGATCTCAGCTCCCACTGGAGCTAGAAAAACGAAATTTGGAGGGTAGGTGGGGGCCATGGGGAACTCTGTTGTGTGTGAATTTCATGACCCTAGGTCAATATCTTCAAGATCAAATGAGGTCAAATGTGGTCAAATCTGCCATATTAGCGACTTTTTTGCGTTTACACGACGATAGCTCAAAAAGTTACCGGCCGATTTTCTTTAATCTTTCACTATACGAAAGAACAAACATTTGTGAGTATGTATGGTGAATTTCTAGATAATCCAACAATAAATATGGCAGTTAGAAGCCTGCTAAGGGTAGGATGTCGCCGGCTGAAGCGGGATCGGCCGACGCGGGAAACGCGGCAATCACAATTTTGTGTTTACACACTCATAACTCAAGTTGTTACCGGCCGATTTTCAAAATTCTTTGACCATATGATTGCCTGTACATTTCTCAGTCTTCTCACCGAATTTGACGCGAATCTAATGTAATCAGCGGTAAGGAGCGCGATGTAAAAACGGAACCGTCCCGCCCCGGCACAGTCTACAATTCAGGCGGCGCGTAACGGCTAGCGCCGGCCGCCGCGCCGCCGCGGCGGCAGGATGTTTGACTTTACACCGCTATTACTAGAAAAGTTGTGAACCGATTTTCTTACTTCTTGCACAAGAAGATCCGCAATTCAATTCTGGACAGGTAGCCGAAATTTCACATTGATATTATGCTTGCGGCGCGAGTTATTGGCGAAAAACAGGAGGGGTGGGCGAAATCCGCCCCCCCCCCCTTCCACTGCGCGTGTTAAAGGGACCCTCCCACCTTAACATTAGATTTGAGTTGAGATAGCCAAAATGGGGTCCCTGGCTCACAATTACCGGTTTCGGCACTCACAACATCGAGAAATGCCTTAAATCGGAAATATTGAATTTCAAAATTGCAGCATTTTGATTCAGAGGGGCTAATGCTTAGGAATACCCCTCTGAATGTGTGACGTCAGCGCAAATATCTAACGATTTTTAAATGTTTGACTAAAACGTTTTGTAGCACGCGGTGGTATATGCTATTTGCGCGCAACATCTGCCGCAAACGCCGCACTTCTAAAATAAAGTCGCTAGAAACAGCGGAGATCCCAAAAAAAGTAAACAAAAGTAAAAGTCAAATATCTTGAAAACCGGTGAATATTTTTCGGTGAAATTTGGTAGATATTCGTTTTCGCTCTTTCTGAACCGAGCGACATCACTTTCATGCCAATTCATAAACTTTTTTGAAGGTGGGAGGGTCCCTTTAACATAGATTTATGACGTTATTTTTACACGCAAATATGCAAAACCGGATATCATTCGAAGGCTTGTGGCATAGGAAGGGCGATGAAAGTTACCGCGAGTCGATTACTCAATTACACCGGACACAGTGGGCCAAAAACCGAATTTCGGGGCCAAAAATCGAAAATCGTCTCTGAAAACCGGAAAAGCATTTTCAGATCAAAACAAATGCCCATTTCGGTTATAATGGGACCCAATGAGTCCAAAAAAAAATCGGTCGTTACTCAGGAACAAAATGCCTGTTGCATAGTGTGATCAATCGAACCTGTAGTTTGAAATGATGTCTGTGACGCATAGTCCCTGCTTGATGCTGTACCGCATGACATGCTTACATTGGCACCCTTCAGCCAATAGATGTCGCTAGCGCCGAGCACCTGATGCATGCGCGTGTTTCTTTTTTCCAACCAAAGGAAGGCGCTATACCCGAAGATGCTTCTTCATGGTAAACAAACCAAACAAAAACAAACATAACCTAACCTCACCTGACCTAACCTACAACCTACAAACCTACAACCTACAACCTAACCTACAACCTAACCTACAGACCTACAACGTCAACCTACAAACCTACAACCTACAAACCTACAACCTAACCTACAACGCGCCAAAAGGTTCGGCCGGCAGCGGGGATCGAACCCTAGTCATTAGATCACGAGGCGAGTGTGCTCACCACTACACCACGCAGCCAGCAGGCCGGTGAGAGGTGTAAGTCAGTTTTGAATGACGCAATGGGATATTCTCCGTATAGCGCCTTCCTTTGGGTGGAAAAAAGAATTACGCGATGCATGCTGTGCCGCATGACATAAAGTTTCACACTTCAGACGATAGATGTCGCTCGCGCATAACGCCTGTGCCGCCTGCTAAGTGCTAAGTGCCAACTGTTTCATTTTTCAGCCGATAGATGCCGCAAGCGCCGAGCGCCTGGTGCATGTTGTGCCGCATACTGTTTAATCTTTCAGTCGACAGATGTCGCTAGCGCATAGCGCCTGATGCATGCTGTGCCGCATGACATTCCACCACTTCACCATTCATCCAATAGATGTCGCTAGCGTTAAGCGCCTGACGCATGCTGTGCCGCAGGGCTTGGCGGCCCCGCGCACGCATCCCGTCCAAGCCGATCATAGCCGATAATGTCCATTGCACAATGCACATAGCACCAAAGTCATGACTGCCGGAAGGCGCAACTATTTCACCGTAACATGCTCAGCTGGCTCGTCCTAAATCGTAAATGGACCGATAGGCGATGGAAGTGTTCTGCTGATCAGTCAGGGAAGCCGTCAGGGAACATCGACAGACAATTGCTTCCCACCTCGCTAAATGGAAACTGCAATCGCACACCTTCGAGGTCAAGCCTCGAAGGCGTCTTCGACCTTAATCCGTCACGTACAAGGTAAACTCTGCGCCGATTTATTCGCTCGGGTAGTTTTCTTTTTTTTTTTTTTTGCTTGTCACATTTGTCGCGATTTTACGGCCGATAGGTATATCTAGGTATGTGAAACATGTCACTGTGAAACAAATCGCTTAGCGCGACAGACGTTTTTCAACTTCACGGGGTTGTGTATTTCATCACGAGGAAAAGCAATGGTTGGGAATGTCACACTTGTTCCTTTTGCAGTAAGCGATGCGCAGAAGCAGACAACACTCAACACACAAGCACAAGCAGATTTGGAAATTGTCATACTGAGCTCCTATGCCGATTAATTGTTAATTTGCTACCGATTGTTAATTTGTTACCGATTGCTTTTGTTAATTTGCTAAGGCCGATTTTGTCAACCTGATGAGACGTGTTCAAATCACCACTACACTACACTAAACTGAAGAACACAACGCAATACAAACTGCAATGCATATCCAAGCGCTTGTAAAAAGCTTCTGCAAAGCATCGGCAAGACTTGGGAAGCTTGCAACATGGATGAATGTCAAAAGATGAATTGAGATCACGTGTTTCCTTTCACCCCTGATGACCGCATTGTCAGGCATGCAATGGCAACACAAATGTCTCGCGAGACAGGAGAGCATGGCTCAGTCAACACGTCGATGCCCTACTCGCCGCGATTCTGTTCTGCCGATTATCAGCGATTCGTGCAATAAGCAATACTCGGAGTCAGCTGGATCACAACTAGCATGCGTGCAAGTCGAGTCTCGCCCCTCCCATTGTAATAAATTGCACATTTCTGACTCCCAACTCGCACGGGGCAAGCTGCGAGCTGGGAGCGAAAAAATATGCAATTCATTCAAATGGAAGGAACAAGCCGCGATTTGTACGCATGAGAGGGCGAGTTCCAGTCTTATGGCAAGTGTGATACGGCTATCCGTCTCTCCAATCCTCCGTAGAGCTGTTTTCACGAGATGGTGGCCACGCCGGCCGGCCTCTCCGCGCCCCGCTCCGCCGGCGGCTCCGCTACCCTGCCGGCGGCGCTGAGCTGACGCAGGTGCTGCAGCACCCTGTCCAGCGCCGGGTTGGCGGCCACCACCAGCCAGGCGAGCAGCGCCAGGCCGGCCCGCACGGCGCACAGCACCACCATGAGCCGGCAGTCGCCGCGCACGGCGGCGGTCGACTCCCAGAGGCCTGCGGTGCCGTTGCGGCGGTACAGGTGCAGCCGGTCGTCGGTAGGCGCCAGGCAGGTGGAGACGGCCAGCACGGCCAGGTACAGCAGCACGGTGACGCCGCCGTCCTGCAGCGTCAGCGAGCGCCGCAGCCGGGCGGCCGAGGCGCGGCTCACGTCGTACCGGTCCAGCGCGGCCACACAACACACCACGGACATCGTGAAGAACACCGCACGGAACGGCAGCGCCAGGGGCGAGTAGTGCGACACAAAGTCGAGAGGACGCCCGCCGTCCCTGGTCAGCGCCGCCACGAACATCAGGTGCGCCAGCGTCAGACCCGCCAGCAGGCCGAAACACAGCCGGCCAAGCGGCGCGAACAGCCGCTGTGTTTGCAGTGCCAGGTCCACGGCGCGTGCCTGAGACTTTTTGGAGTAGGCGGCGCCGGCGGAGCGAGTCGCCGTCTGCCGTTTGGCCGCGTGGAACCGGCTGCCCTTCTCGATATAGAGTTTGGTGACGGCCGGCTGGGGGACGTGCTCTGGCAGCAGGCTGGGCGGCAGGTCGCCGCCGGCCTCGCTGCCCGAGCGCACCTCCTCACCTAATCTAGAGAGCTCGTCAGTGATTGACATCTCAGCCGGCTCGGAGGCCAGCTCCAGCGCCCCCTCGCGACGGGACGAGTCGCCCGACAGCTCGCGTCGGTAGCTGAGGTCGCCGGAGAGGTCGCGTCGGTAGCTGAGGTCGCCCGACAGGTCGCGTCGGTGGCCGCTGGCCTCGGCAGACGGCTCGCGCCGGTAGCTAGCGTCGAAGGAGGTCTCACGCCGGTAGGTGGTGTCGCCAGCTGCTGAGTCGTCCGGCGCACCGTGGGACCTGGCATAAACTCGGCAAGGTCAAATAAATACTTCTATGACGATAGAATAGAACCGATCGAAACTCAAACAGCGCAAAGTCAGCCTGTGAGCCTCCTGGTCTATACCTACTGTTAGATACATAGATTTAGGGACGCCATTTATACATACAATACGCACCAAACAAATGCATGGAAGTTAATTTGACACTCTAAAAAAGACGCTGCAGTTTTCCAGCGTAACTCGCCTGAGTGTGGCGCTATCGGCCGAGTCTCCGGCGGCCGTCCGGTCGGCGCGCTGGGCCTCCAGCTTGGCCCGCCGTCGCCGCTTGGCCTGTCGACTGCGGTACTCCCGGCTGGCGTACCGTCCCGAGTCATCGCTGGAGTCGAGCGCAGCGGTCAGCGGCGGCAGCCGGGGTCGGGGCCGCTCCGCCGGCACCTCCAGTCGGCCGCGGGGCTCGCTCATGACGGCTCTGACCGGTCACCGCAGCTGTGGACTGTGGACAATACGGACTGGTTAAATAGGCCGAGGCGGACTTATCGGCAACGCGATACAAGAATACCGGGCCTATGTGGTTAATCTAGGCTTTGAGACAGCCTTCTAAGGGCCTTCGCCTAGCTGAGCGCTTACGCTGAGCTCTGAAAGCCCAGGTTGATCTCTAAGGACCCTTGCAAGTCAAAAGGGGCCATACCAAACGCTACCGGTGACGCCAGGGTTACCGATACCGTATTTTTTATTATTATTAAGCCCCTCTCCCCTTCAGTAAACACCAATTATGAGCAAACAGCGAAGGTAAAAACCGACGGGTCCTCTCGGTCCGTCGATTTCGGTCCCGATTGGAGACCCGCCCCGGGTCGGCTGGCGCCCTTTTCTAATTACTATAAATAGATGGCCCTTGGCATGAGGCCTTGGGGCCTTGGACATGATGCCTTGGGGCTTTGGGCATGAGGCTATGGCCCCTGGGGCCTTGGGCAAAGGGCATGAGGTCTTGGGGCCTTGGGCAATGGGGCCTTGGGAAATGGGGCTTTGGGCAATGGGGCATTGGGCAATGGGGCATTGGGCAATGGGGCATTGGGCAATGGGGCATTGGGCAATGGGGCATTGGGCAATGGGGCCTTGGGTAATGGGCCTTGAGTACTATGGGCCTTGGGCAATGGAGCCTTGACCAATGGGGCATTGGGCAATGGGGCCTTGGGCAATAATGGGCATGAGGCCTATAGGCCTCTGACTCTCTATATAGTCTAAACTGAAACGGCCTTCGGCACGAGAAAAGCGAGCTTATTAGAAGCAGAAATCAACCTGTAAAAATTCCGACCAATAAAATCACCATTTTTTTCTCTCGAAATGAAATAATATCTATGGAAATAATGCACCTCACCTACTCACCATCCAGCTTTCTGCTAGAAATGTAAACATTTCCAACCGGGAATGCAGCCACGGTAGCGCTCCTAACTTTATAAGTAAAAATTATCTTTTATAAAATAAAAATTATTCATTTGAGAATTTAACTGAATTTAAGAATATATTTTTATAATATATTTTGGAGAAAAAATATTGTATATAAGTGTTAAATTTACCTTTTAACTTACTTCTAAAAAATGGCCAGTGAATATTCGTAGATCACTATTTAGTAGCACGAAGAAATATAGACCAACTGTGCACCGAAATGTCATGCTCCAAAAACATTTACCGAAATGTATCCTAGGCCAAAACGACGCACTTTTTGATACGAATGGCCGCGTGGCGCAGTTTCTTTTCATTGCTTTTTTGCGAATTAATTGTGAATTTCGATGTAAGACAGCCCTCAACCTGTATTCAATTTTAACATGGGTCCTGTCTTGAAGCAGGGATAAACTGAAAGCTAAAGCAAACATCACAGGTGGGTCTCTTCGAGTGTTCCTAGTTCAAGCTTGGTAGACATTAGACATAAATTGTAGACATTTCTGTTTGACATTTGCATTAGTTGAGGAAACTACGAGGCGAAGATCCAAAAATGTATACACTGTGCAAAAATGGATCGGTCAATAAATAGACTTTTGATGACCATATATGGGCATAAATGCAGCCCTTGCTACTCATACTACGGGTGAAAACGATGTATAACCTGCTGGTACTTGCGGTATCGCGTCCACATCAGGGAGAGAAGGCTTCCATTTTCCACTAGGAATTAACGAGATTCGATTAAGTTGGACGAATTCATTCGAAAATGGTGATAGAAAAACAGCTCTGCAGGTTCTGGGCGTCACAATCAGCTGGCCATTCCATAAATGAATTGGTATTTTGAATGAAAATTATTATAAGATTTAATTTCATTACAATAAATACAGACATTAAATTTTAAAATTATAATTTAACCACAATTGGAAAAAAACATGCAAAATAATAAAGATAATGACATTTTAAAACCATGGTGGTGCTTACATATTTTGGCGCATCTGTTTCAATCCACCATATTTGCCAATTACTGTTTAACCTTGTATTGTAACTCCAGATTTAGAGCCGCCAGTTAATTGTGCACCAAGTGACTAGTGAGTGTAGGCCTTGTGTGGTTAAAAACATTCTAATGCCTTATTTTTTCATTTGAATGCTAGGATGTGTGTAAAGATGAAGTTTTCTGATTTTATGACCCATATGGTCATAGCCCCGCCCACTCCAGCCGTTGATTGGCTGATAAATTTTTGGATCTTCACCTCATAAATTCCTCAACTGATATTACCGTTAGGTGATTCACATTTCAGAATTGTGTTTCCTTTTCCTTAGCTTATTTGTTAAATAATATAAAATATTTTCATTGTTTTCTAGCAGATCACATGTTTTCTGACAGGATCGTTATTCGTTGCACAGATGGGACAGTCTGGAAAAGGTACCCGGAATTTTAATGCATTTTTTTGAATAGGTGTGCTGCCAAAAAATTGACTGTCTCTTCCCTTTTCAACTTGGATATTTACTCAGTGATTTTTATTACAAATAATCATTGTTTGTTTTGTTGATTGAAGTGATATGATATGAATTATTCTAAATGAAAGCAGGCCTTGTTTAAGACTGATAAGCATACAGTAAAAGCTATAGTGAATAAAATTCCAAGAGGTTTGGGGTGTTATGCAGTAACAATCTCCATGCTAGAGAGGCTCATTTTGTTACTAGAGAAGGATAGTAATCCATGGCAATGGATATTGTGACATCATTGGAGATAATTAGCTTGGAAAAGCTTTAAAAAATAAAGTTTTCTGGCCAAACAGTTTTGTCTGGCACTGGAAAGGGTCAGAGAGAAAATATGACAATCTCAGCTCGAACATTCAAATTCAGATCTGCAGTATAGTATTATACTACAACAGAACCTGTGCAATAACTGCTAACGTTACCTACAGAGAGACAAGCTGCAATCCCCTGACTGAAGTGTACTGTGTTTTTCTCAGACGCGATGGCGTCGGCGGCGGGCACCATCGAGATCCCGCTGCGGGACAACCCGGAGGAGGTGATCGAGCTGGACGCCGGCCAGCTGCCAGAGGGCGACGAGGTGCTCACCATCCTGCGCCAGGAGGAGGCGCCGCTCCACCTCTGGGTCACCGTGGCCGTCCACTACTTCAAACAGAACAATGCCGCCGACTTCGTCAAGATCCTGGAGGCGTCTCGCACCGAGGCCAGCCTCAACTACCGCGACTTCCAGAAGGACCAGATGCGCGCCCTGGACACGCTGGCCGCCTACTATGTGCGCCAGGCCAACAGCGAGAAGAACAAGGACCGCAAGAAGGAGCTGTTCACCAAGGCGACCCTGCTGTACACCACGGCCGACAAGATCATTATGTACGACCAGAACCATCTACTGGGCCGCGCCTACTTCTGTCTGCTGGAGGAGGGCGACAAGATGGACCAGGCCGACGCCCAGTTCAACTTCGTGCTCAACCAGTCGCCCAACAGCATCCCGTCGCTACTCGGCAAGGCCTGCATCGCCTTCAACAAGAAGGACTACAAGGGTGCGCTGGCGTTCTACAAGAAGGCGCTGCGTACGAACCCGCAGTGTCCGGCTGACGTGCGGCTCGGCATGGGCCACTGCTTCCTCAAGCTGGGTAACGCCGATAAGGCGCGGCTGGCGTTCGAGCGAGCCCTCGACCTGGACGCCAACTGTGTCGGCGCGCTCGTCGGACTGGCCATTCTGGAGCTGAACAACAAGCAACCCGAGTCGATCCGCAGTGGTGTGCAGATGCTGTCGCGCGCCTACACCATCGACCCCACCAACCCCATGGTGCTCAACCATCTGGCCAACCACTTCTTCTTCAAGAAGGACTACGGCAAGGTGCGGCAGCTGGCCACCTACGCGCTCTACAACACGGAGAACGATGCGATGCGTGCTGAGAGCTGTTACCAGCTGGCACGCGCGTTCCACGTGCAGGCGGACTACGAGAAAGCGTTCCAGTACTACTACCAGGCGACGCAGTTCGCGCCGCCGAGCTTCGTGCTTCCCAACTACGGACTCGGCCAGATGTACATCTACCGTGGCGATACTGAAAACGCCGCACAGTGCTTCGAGAAGGTGCTCAAACTGCAGCCGGGGAACTACGAGACGATGAAGATCCTTGGCTCGCTGTACGCCACGTCGACGAGCGAGTCCAAGCGTGACATCGCAAAGGGTCACCTGAAGAAAGTCACCGAGCAGTTTCCGGACGACATCGAGGCTTGGATCGAGCTGGCCCAGATCCTGGAAGGTACTGACCTCAACGGCTCGCTGGCTGCCTACAACCACGCCATCGGCATCCTGAAGGACAACGTCATGGCCGAGATCCCGCCCGAGCTGCTCAACAACGTGGCCTCGCTGCAGTTCCGGCTGGGCAACCAGGAGGCGGCGCACAAAAACTACGAGCTGGCGTTGGACCGGTGTAAGCGCGAGTCGGAACACGACGCGCAGTACTACAACAGTATCAGCATCACGATCACCTATAACCTGGCGCGGCTGTTCGAGGTGCGCTGGCTCAACGACCGTGCCGAGAAGCTCTACAAGGATATCCTGAAGGAGCACCCCAACTACGTGGACTGCTACCTGCGACTGGGCTGCATGGCGCGCGACCGCGGTCAGATCTACGAGGCATCTGACTGGTTTAAGGAAGCTCTGCAGGTTAACAACGAGCACCCGGACGCCTGGTCTCTGATCGGCAACCTCCACTTGGCCAAACAGGAGTGGGGACCTGGCCAGAAGAAGTTCGAGAGGATCCTGAACACGACGCCGCACGATCCGTACTCGCAGATCGCGCTGGGGAACGTCTGGTTACAGACGCTTCATGTGCCCACCAAGGACAAAGACAAGCTACAGCGGAACCAGGCGCGCGCGCTGGCTATGTACAAGGAGGTGCTGCGCCACGACCCGCGCAACATCTGGGCGGCCAACGGAGTGGGAGCCGTCATGGCGCACAAGGGCTACATCTCAGAGTCCCGAGACATCTTCGCGCAGGTCCGCGAGGCCACGGCAGACTTCTGTGACGTGTGGCTCAACATCGCGCACGTGTACGTGGAGCAGAAGCAGCTGGTCAGTGCCATCCAGATGTACGAGAACTGCCAGAAGAAGTTCTTCAAGTACAACAACGTGGAGGTGCTGCTGTACCTGGCGCGCGCCTATTTCAAGGCGGGCAAGCTGCGCGAGGCCAAGATGACGCTGCTGCAGGCGCGACGTGTTTCACCCCAGGACACGGTGCTGCTCTATAACCTGGCGCTGGTGCTGCAGCGACTCGCCATGCAGATTCTCAAGGACGAGAAGTCCAACCTGAAGACAGTGCTGCAGGCAGTGCACGAGCTGGGCCTGGCGCACAAGTACTTCCAGTACCTCTCCATCAACGGCGATCGCATGAAGTACGACCTGGCGATGGCTGAGGTGGAGGCGCGTCAGTGCCAGGACCTGCTGTCGCAGGCACAGTACCACGTGGCCCGCGCTCGTCGACAGGACCAGGAGGAGCGCGAACAGCGCCGCCGCCAGGACGAGTCGCGTCAGACGTTCCTGCAGCGGCAGCAAGAGGAGCAGAGCCGGCGCGAGGCCGAGCGGCGCCAGCGCCTCGAGGAGCAGATGCGCGCCCGCGAGGAGTTCAAGGAGAAGATGAAGAACGCGGTGGTGATCCCAGAGATCCCGTCCGAACCGAGCCGCGGCAAGAAGCGCGGCCGCGGCCGGCGCGACTATGTCTCCGACTCTGGCGGCTCTGGCGGCGAGCAGGGCGGTGGTCCGTCCGGCAAGAAGCAGCGCAAGCCACGCGAAAAGAAGGAGCGCAAACCGGGCAAGGGCCGCAAGAAGCGCGAGGCCGGCTCGGGATCGGACGGCGAGCCCCGCGGACGCGCACGCAAGAAGAAGAAGGCCGAGACCGAGGACGTGGACGGCTTGACGGTGAAGCAGCGCCGCAAGGTGGTGTCCAAGGCGACCATCTCGGACTCGGACAGTTCCGACTCGGGCGGGGCTCGCCGCCGCCGCGACAGCAGCAGCGACGACGCCGGCGCCGGTGGACGCGGCAAGATTGTATCCGACTCGGACGAAAGCCCGGCCCGCTCGCGTTCCGGCTCGCCGCGCAAGTCACGCTCGCGCTCAAAGTCTCGCTCCAAATCGCGTTCTCGATCGCGGTCGCGCTCTGGCTCCGGTTCGCGTTCGGGCTCGACCGGCTCCCGGCGGTCGGTGAGCCGCTCAAAGTCCCGCTCTCGGTCGCGCTCTGGCTCGCCGGGGTCGCGCCGGTCGCGCTCCAAGTCGGGCTCCCGCTCCGGCTCCGGTTCTCGCTCGCGCTCGAGGTCTGGATCCCGCTCCAAGTCCCGCTCGAAGTCCCGCTCTAAGTCTCGTTCTAGGTCCCGTTCTAGGTCCAAGTCTAAATCTCGTTCCCGTTCGCGGTCGCGCTCTGGATCTCGGTCTGGCTCGGCGGCGTCAAAACGTTCCGGCTCGGCGGCTTCTCAGCGATCAGGGTCGGGTTCGGACTGAGCTGTGAGCTGTGCGACTATCTGACTGGACTGGAAGTGCCACTGGACTGGACTGGGGACTGGAAATGTGCGGTGATCGGAGTGAGTGAGAGTGTGGTGTGCGGTCGCCGCCCGCTCGGACTGATAGTGGTCACGGTGTTATGGTGCGGGACATGTTTCGTGCCAGACTGCGGGCATCGTTTCCCATGTGTATATGTACAGTGCCGCGTTCAAGATGGGACGCACCTGTCTAATAGTGTCCACATTTGGACGAATTTCATCGTCATTCATGCCCTTGTCGCTTTCCTCGCTGATGTGAAACTG